TCCTTTTTCTTTTCCCCCTCCTCTTCCCTTTCACCATCCTCCTTCTCCCTACCACTCCGATTTTTCCTTTTTTCTTTTTACCGTACTTTTAACTTTTAACTCTCCGCCATTTTTTTTTCCTTTTCTTACTTCAATTTTTTTTTTTTACATTCTCTCTCTCTCTCTCGCCGTAATTTCATTTTATTGTTTTATTATTATATTATTATTATTATTATTATATTTTCAACTCCGGTTCAATTTTTTTTTGTACGCGATCAAAATAAATTTAAAAACCCCGCTGGAGAAAAAAAAAAAAATATCCAGTTTTTATCACACAAAAGATTTTCCCCCCGTAACGAATTCCAATTATTACTCAATGAATGAATGAAATTTTTTTTTTCCACGGAATTTTTTATTATCATTATTATATTACCATCACCTTCCCACCGTTTTCCTCCTCCTCTCCCTCTCCTTTTCATTCCCCTCCTTCGTACGAATTTTTTTTTTCTCTCCTCCAACAAAAACTGGAAATTTTTAACGAGATGGATAAACGACGAAGGAAAAAAAAAATTTTTTTTTCCTTTGACGCTCGCTCCCCTCCCCTCCCCTCTTTCCCACCCTCTTTATATATTTGATCAATTAATTTCGCGCCTTTTTTTTTTCTCACAAATGAATTCTAAATACACGACGTCAACTTCCTATTTTTTTCCTCCTTTCAATAAATAAATAAAAGGAGGAAAAAAAATGGTAATGAAAACGAACGGAGGAAGAGGGGAGAGAGGAGGGGAGGGAGTAGTGGGGGAAAACAATAAAAACCTTTTTTCCTTTTAATTTTAAACTGAAACCTTTTTTTTTCTTTTTTCCTTTTTTTCCTTTTTTTTTTTTTTGATTTAATTAAAAATGCCAAAAGGAAAGAAGAAGTTAAAATTTTTTAACGGTTTTTAACTTTTTACTTTAAAATAATAATAATAATAATAATGATGATGATGACGAACGATTTAAAAGAAAAACTAATTATCATTATTATTATTATATTTTAAAATTTTATTTTATTTATTTATTTATTGATCGTTAAAAAAAATTTTTTCTTTTTTTTCGTTTTTCTTTCCTTTGAAAGAGATAAAGAAAATTTTTTTCCTCCTTTTTTTCATTTATAATTTAAATCCTTTGAAAATTTCTTCTTCTTCTTCTTCTTCTTCTTCTTATTATTATTATTATTATTATTATTATTATTATTATTATTATTATTTTCATTTTCGTTTTTCTTACCAAAGAAGGATTAAATAATTATTAAAAAAAAAATAAAAAAAGAAAAGAAAAGATGATGAAGAAAAATTTTCTTTTTTCTTTTTTTTTTTTGTTGTAAAAAAAATCCTATAAATTGTTGGAGAAAATATAAAAAGAAAGAATGAAAGGAAAAAATAAAAGGATTAGAAAAGGTTATAAATCAAAGGAAAAAAGGAAAAAAAAATATATATATATATATATTTATATCTGAATTTTTCTTCTTCATGTACGCGAGCGAGTTCGTTTCCGTTTCCCGCCTTTTCTTAATTTTTTTACTTAATTAAATTGATGAAAAATCCGAAACGAAATTGGAAAAACGAGTCTCATACGTCATTTTTAGATTTCATCTTTCTCTCTCTCTCTCTCGTTCTCTCCATATGTATATATTCCTCTCTCTCTGTCCCTCTTCCTTTCTCTCTATATTCCTCTTTAACTTTCTCTCTCTCTTTCTCTCTATATTTATTTCTTCTTGTTTCTCTTTTTTTCTTTCTCTCAGTGTTTCTTTTTCCTTCTCTTTGTCTCTCTCTCTCTCTCTCTCTCAATATTTTTTTTCTACCTTTATTTCTTTCTCTCTCTCTTTTTAACTTTACTACACCACACACACACATTCTCACATTTCATTCTTTGATTTTTTTTAAAAGATTTTCTCCCGTTTTTTTTTTTTTACCGATTCGATTGATTGGATTTTTTTTTTCCTTTGAAAAAAAACTTTTCCCCCTCTCTCTCTCTTTCTCTTTTTTCTCTCTCTCATTTTATCTTTTGCATTTTATTTTAACTTTTTTCTTTTTCTTTCTTACTCGAAAACCACTTATTATAAATAAAAATAAAATTTGAGTATCAAAGTTTAAAAACATTTCTTTAAGTGGAAAAGTTCAACTTTGACCTCATTTTTTCTCCCCTTTTTTCCTCTTCTTTCCCCCACCTCCTCCGCTTTTTTCTTCTCCTTTTTCGCATTAAAATTTCAAGAGACTTGCTTTGTTCGTATTTTTTTTTTCGGGTTTGTTTTCTCCTCCCCCTTCTTCCCTCTCTTCCCGCACCTCGAAATAAAACGAAAAATAAAAACAAAAAAAAAAAAAAAATTTGTCACGTTTGTCTTTTCCTATTACCATTTTTTCCTTTGACCGCCTTTCTCTCTCTTTCTCGTCTTTCGAAAGAAATTGAAAAATAATAATAATAATGATAATAATATTAATCGAATAATAATTATTTCGGAAACAATCGACAAAGTTAAAAAAAAAAAAATTTTTTTTTTCCTTTTTTTTCTTTCCTTTTTTTTTTCTTTTCCATTGAATTCAGATTCGAAATTGAAAATAATAATAATAATAATAAGTAAAAATAAAAGAAAAGAAAAGAAAAAAAAGTTGAAGAATAAATAAATCTCCATAGAAAAAAAAAAAAAACAAACTAATAATTGAAATTTTATACAAAAAAAAAAAAAAAAATTCAAAAGAATTTTCCAGAATTAATAAAAAAAAAAAAATCTTTTATTATTATTATTATTATTTCAACTTATTGATTTCCCCCACTCCCTACCCACCCCCCACCGCTTTGGCTCCCGCTCCCTACTTTTCTGTTTGTTAACGTCTTAATTGAAATTGTAAAAAGAAAGAAAAAAAAAGAAAAAAGGTGAGAAAATGAATATTTTTCCTTTTTTCCATTTTCTTTTTTTCATTTCCTTTTTATTGAAAAAATAAGAAACGGTCTAAAACTAATTAATGACTTTTTGTACGATTTAAAAAAAGGACGAAGGGAGGAAAGGAATGGGGGGTGAGAAAAAAAAAGAAAAACAAAGGAAAGGAAAAGGAAAAAAAACCCGGGAAACTACGAATCAAATTTTTATTTTCATTTCAATACATTTTTTATTCATTGTCAATTTACCATTTATTATTATTTACCTCACTTCCGGTTAGGGTCGTCACAAAGGAAAAAAAGGGTAAAAAAAAAATTTCCTTTTATCTCGCTTCCGTATTTATCAATCGTATTAATTTTTATGTACATATATTTATTTTATGGATTTTTTTTTCCCACCTGAATTTAACGGACGTAAAGTTGAAAATATATATATATATATAAAATATTAAAAAAGAGTTTTCACAACCGGATGTTATCGACCGGAAACCATTTTCAATAAGTCGTACATTTTCTTTTATCTCGTTTTCCTTTTTTTTTTTTTTATTATACGACTCGCTTTTGTATTTTTCTCTCCCTTCCTCTCTCTCTCTCATCCTCATCTCCCTTCTCCCTTTCCACTTTTTCCCAGTTTGATTCATAATTTATTATTATTATTATTATCATTATTATCAATCATAGAATTTTATCATTACGAAATACGTTTTGTATTTATTCATTTTTTCTCGAATGAATTCATTCTGGAATTTTTGAATGATTGCACGTGGGAATAGAATAACCGAATCGACTTTTAATATTTAACCGTCGAATTTTTAAATATTTAACGGAAGTGAAAGAAATTTCATTTCCGTTTCCCCCCTCACCAATTTCTTTCTTCCTTATTATGACTAATGATATCCTCTAGGTATACAACTTCCCCTTAAAAAAAAATTCCAAAGAAACTTGTAATATTATTATTATTATTAAAACACGACGAGTTCCATGTTTTCGTCGGTGAATGTTCTTCCAGAATTTTTTCGAAGTTTACCCGATTCCTCCTCCTCCTTCTCCTCTTCCTTTTTCTCCTTCTTCTCCTCCTCCTTCTTCTCTTTTTCCTCCTCTTCCTTCTCATCCTCCTTCTCCTTCTTCTCTTTCCTTTCCTTTTTCCCTTTCTCCTTTTTTTTCTCTTTCTCCCCTCCTCCTCCTCGTGAGCGAATCCCATCGCAATTTTTAAACGCGATTTTGTATTATCATTATTATCATCATCATTAATAACGTACGAAACGTTTTTTTTTATAAGTAAAAGTAATAATAATAATGTAATATTTTAAATAGAAAACAAAGAATTTAAATATTTACATTAATATTATTATTATTATTATTATTAATAAAATATCGTTTTTTTTATTTGTTTGTTCTCGAGAAACGCTCGCTTTTCATGTTAACATTATTATCATTATTATTTTTTTAAATCGATAATAATAATAATAAGTTTTTCTTCGTTTTTTTTTTCGTTGTTATTAATTCACGATCGGATCATCGTCGTTTCTGTACTTGACTTTTCTCTCTCTCTCTCCTTCTCTCTCTTTGGAAATGTTATACGTGGAGAAGACAAGAAGGAGAAGGAGAAGGAGAAGAAAATTTTTTTTCCAATTTAAAAAAAAAAAAAAAAAAATTCGAAACTGGGGCGTACGACGACGGCGACGACGACGACGTTTGTTCAATTTTTCCGGCACATTCCCTTCCCCCCCAAACTCTCTCCCCTTCTTCCCTCCATCGTCTCATTTTCTTTTTTTTTTTTTTGTCTCCTATCGAATGAGATAGAAAGAAACATCGTATCGAATGATAATTTTTTTTTTTTTTTCTATTTTTTCGACTAGAACAAAACTAGAAATTGAATTTTGAAAAGTCCGAAGGGACCAGAATAGAAAAGGAAAGAAAAAGAAAAGAAAAGAAAAGAAAAAGACAATTTATGTCGTCTTGGTTTTTTTTCTTTCTCTCTCTTATTGTCCTCACGAACCGAATTTCAAATGTTTCCAATAATAGAATAGAATGAAATTCAACAGACAAACAAATATTATCGAAAGAATGAAAATAATAATAATAATAATAATAAATAATAAAAAATGATGATGAACGAAAAAAAAACAAGAATAATAATAATAATAATAATATTATTGAATATATCGAAAATTGCATTATCCTGTTACGTGTTTCCAACAGAACAAGAAAATCCATGCAAGGACAAAAAATGTCAATACGGTGCGAGATGCGTTCCGTCACTCGATGGAAAATCATCAGAATGTAAATGCCCGGAAAATTGTCCGAATTTGGGTGATCACGTGGGTTCGAGACCTGTTTGCGGATCCGACGGTTTGGACTATAGGGACAGTTGCGAATTGAAACGTTCCGCATGTCTTACAAACACGGAAATATCCATCAAATATCAAGGAAAATGCGGTGAGTTGTATTCTCTACCCCCCCCCACCCTCTCACTCCCCCTCATATAAATTAATCGAATTTACACACACACCTTTTAGATCCATGCGATAACATACAATGTCCGGAACCGGAAATCTGTCAATTAGACGAAGATAGACAACCGGAATGCAGGTGTGGAGAATCCTGTTCTCTTGAATTCACTCCAGTTTGTGGTTCGGATGGTAAAACCTACAGCAACGAATGTTCCCTAAGACAAGAATCTTGCAGGACGAGAAAAAATTTAAGAATTATATACAGAGGAAAATGCAGTTCAGGTATATAAAATCGAAATCTTTTTTTTTGGATGCGTATCCCCATCGTACCTAAAAAAAAAATGTTTTCTTGTCCATCGAAGGTTTCAATCCTTGTTCCTCGTTGAAATGCATTAACGGTGAAGAATGCGTCATCAATAAATACGGTATAGCAAGATGCGAATGTCCAACGGATTGCGAACCCATCGTACGACCAGTTTGCGGTAACAATTCCAAAACATACGACAACGAATGCGAATTAAGAAAATCCGGGTGTTTGTCCAAAACCAAACTGGAAACGTCGTATGCTGGAATATGCGGTAAGACATATCCTCTCCCGTTTATTATCCGATTGATGACGTCAACAGAGTTTTATATACATTATTGATTTGTATGTATTAGGAGGTGAGGGACCGTGCAGTGGTCATTTTTGTACAAACGGAGCTTTGTGCGTAGAAAGAGGAGGTAAACCCTATTGCGAATGTCCCACGTGTCCATCCGAATTTGATCCCGTTTGTGGATCCGATGGAATTTCCTATGGAAATGAATGCAAATTAAGACTGGAAGCATGTCAACACAGGAGAGATATTTCCGTTTTATATCCGGGATTATGCAGTTAGTAACAATCATTTTTTTTTTGTTTGTTTGGAATTGAAGCTTCCGGTTTTATTAAAATTTTTTTTTCCCCCCCTCCTTCCTCTTCCGTTCCAGACGGCTGCGAAAATAAAAGATGCGAATTTTATGGAATTTGCGAAAGCGATGGTTTTGGCGAAACGAATTGTATTTGTCCATCTAATTGTCCAGAGGTAAAAAATTTTATTATAATGTTTATTCATTTCCCCCATTCCCCCCATTTCCCCTCCCCAAAAAAAAAGTTAATTTTTTTCTTTTTTGTATAAAAAGGGTCTTCAAGGACTTTCCGTTTGCGGAAGCGATGGTAAAACGTACAATTCCGAATGCGATTTGAGACAACATTCATGCAAAACAAAACAGTTGATATCGATTGCTTATAAAGGGGATTGCGGTAATCAAAGTTTAATGAACCCGGGGCACCAAACCACCGATGAAAAATTTTGTTTGTTTGTTTGTTTGTTTGTTCCCTTTTATTAATTATTTATTTTTTTTTTTTTTTTTTAGATTTATGCCAAGGTGTAAAATGTAAATTTGGAAGTCGTTGCGTGGCCGGAGATTGCATTTGTCCAATTAATTGTTCCTATACCGATTCATCTGAATTAGTTTGTGCCTCAAACATGGTCACCTATGCAAACGAATGCGAAATGCAAAAAGCAAGTTGCGAACAACCGGAACATTTACCACCCTTAAGCGTTTTCTTCTACGGTTCTTGCAAGGAAAAATTTACATTACCGACAACAAGTGAGTTACAAACAAACAAAATTTACGTAACATTTTTAAATTTTGCTATTTTTTTTTATTAACGTAAACAAATAATTATTATTATCTTGTACATAAAAAAAAAAAAAAACCGCGGTGGCGGCAAAATTGAAGAAGAAAAAAAAAGTTAACTAACCATTAATTTTTCCCCCAATCTCTCTCTCTCTCTCGCTCTCATCCTCTCTCTCGACATAACAGCAACGTCAATAACACCAATCAGAACTAACGTCATCGACACTGGAGATCGTGATAAATTAATGCGTAACAAAACTTATACGATTTCGGAGAGGGAAAAAGAAGTTTGCAAAGACATACATTGCGATTATGAAGCAACTTGCGAATTAGGCCCGGATAATTTTCCCAGGTGCACCTGTAAATTTGATTGCGAAAACGTTGTCGGTGGTGGGAAAATGGTTTGCGCTAGCGACCTACGCATTTACCCAAGCCTTTGCGTCATGAAAATGGAAGGCTGTCAAAGACAGGAAGAATTACGACTCCGTCCCTTAGAATTATGTGAAGGTAATATAATTTTTTACGCTTTCATATAAATACGTTACTAAAAACAATGGCTGTCCTTTTTTTTTTTTTAAATCATCTACAACTATTATTATTATTATTATTATTAATTGAAATTGACGTTGTAATCAGGTATGGAAGTTAAACCGTGTAATGGAGAACCTCCGCTCATCGATTCGGTAACTAATAAAGAATACGATTGTGGTTCCGGTCCCTCGAGACAAGATTGTCCTTCCGGAAGTTATTGTCATCACACGAAACATTTTGCTAAATGTTGTAAAAAAGGTACAAAAAATTCCAAAACCTTGGGGGGAAAAAATGTAAATTTTCTCTGTTATCATCATCATCATCATCATCATTATTATTATTTTTTTTGTTAAATAGATTTAAATACCCTGTTCGACAATTGTTCGGATTCTTGGTACGGATGTTGTCTCGATGGCGTAACCATAGCTCAAGGACCCGACAATACCGGATGTCCGTCCCTCTGCGGTTGTAACAGATTAGGTTCGTTCGATGATACCTGCGACGAAGATACCGGTCAGTGCAATTGCAGGCCCGGAGTCGGAGGTTTAAAATGCGATAGATGCGAACCAGGTTTTTGGGGTTTGCCGAAAATATCAGAAGGACAAAATGGGTGTCAACCGTGTAGTTGTTCCCAGTACGGTTCCGTGAGAGACGATTGCGAACAAATGACAGGTCGTTGCGTTTGCAAAAATGGAGTTCAGGGTCAGAAATGTACGATTTGCACGGATGCGAACAAGTTTTTGGGTCCCGCAGGATGCGTTTACGGTAATTATGACACGGACAATGCACAAAAAAATCAAAACGTCGAAGAGAGGAGTATTAAAACCGAACAAATACTATCCGATACAGGTACCGAATGGCCACTCAAACGTTCGACATCCGTCAAGTACACAGAATCCGAATCGATTAGCAGTCCTCTTTACAAAAGTACGCGTCATTTGAAATTTCCAGATCACAGGTACATGTACAACGGTGAAGATACCAGCCAACTCACATCTGCCAGCCTTTATCATTTATCCGATACCAGTCACGCAGTACCTTGGCACACGGGTATTTATTACATCATCATCATCCTTATCATCACCTTGTCCGAAAAAACTTATTTATTTTCTCTCATGTTTTCGAGAAGGTTACAACGTGGGAATTTACAGACCTACTCCGGCCACCATAACGATAACGGCATTGCTTGGAGATTTGTGCGAAATATCAGCCGATTGCGGTGTTCCACACAGCGAGTGCATAAAGGGAAGTTGCCTGTGTCCCGATGGATATTCCGAAACGCCAAATCGTCAGGATTGCATATCAGACAATTTCAATCCGACTCCTTATCACAAAGGTAAGTTGCCTTTTTTGGGGGAACGGTTCGAACCGAACGCTCGGAAAAATCAATACAATTTAAATTTTTTTATTTTTCCAGCTTACGAAATCCCATCTTTCGACGGAAGATCTTATTTGCAATTGAAAAGACTCAAAGCATACAACAAGTTAACGGTTGAAATAGAATTCAAATCTTATGCCAACGATGGGATTTTATTGTATTCTCAACAGAAACCTGACGGAACGGGAGATTTTCTTTCATTGGCCATCGTAAACGGGTGAGTTTTACTACGATTTTCCATCGATTCCTTCCCCTCACGAAAACGACATAATAATAATAATAATTTTTTTTTTACGTAGCTACGTGGAATTCAGATATAATTTAGGAAACGGTGCCGTCGTTATATCATCCCTTGAAAAAATTGAATTGAAAAGATTTCATAAAATAACGGCTAAAAGATATCACAGAGATGGAATACTCAAATTGGACGATTACGAAGATGTCGCCGGACAAAGTCAGGGAACTTTAAAAAGTTTAGATTTGGTTGAACATGCATACGTCGGTTACGTACCTACAAATCATTCGAGGTATTAAAGAAAAGACACACACACAACCGGAAATAATAAACAGTACGTTAAGGTTTTGTTTTTGTTTGTTCGAACAGAGTTTACGAAAACATCGGAACAAACAGAGGATTGACGGGTTGTATAAGAAAATTAAAAATCGGACGACATATTGTCGAAATGAACGAAGAAAGAGATCAACTAGTTGAAAAAATTGTCGGAGTTATGGAATGCGGTGAAAATCCATGTTCTAACCTTCCATGTAACAATTCTGGAACGTGTTTTGCAATAGATTCCGAAAAATACGTTTGTAATTGCAGAGAGGATTACACGGGTAAATTTCAAAATGGCGGACGGTGGTAGTATGTGAAATAATAATAATAATTTTTTTTATTTACCTTGATTCATTCATTCCAGGTCAACATTGCGAAACTTGGTTGAATCCTTGTTTATCCGAACCTTGCGGTTTCGGTTCATCATGCGATCCTCATCTTAGTCAGGGTGGTTTCACGTGTCATTGTTCTCCTGGAAGAAAAGGAACATTCTGTGAATTACGTAAGTTTTTCTTTTTTTTTTTTTTTTTAAATTATTTTCAATTCGAAATTATTATAACTCGATATTAATTTTTTTTAGTGGATACGAAAAATTTAATAATAAAACCCGCGGAATTCAACGGGGATTCATACGTTGAACTTTCAAAATTGGAAAATGTCGGACGTTCTTTTTCACTGGAACTTTGGATACTAGCAAAAGCACCCGATGGAATGTTGGTGTACAACGGTCAACTTTTAAACGGAAAAGGAGATTTTATTTGCGTTTACTTATACAGGGGATTCGTTGTTTTTCAATTTGATTTGGGAAGCGGTCCCGCTAACATAACGTGAGTGTCTTCCGCCATTTTTACACAATTAAAATGGCGGAAGGAACTCTTATCATTTTTTTCTATTGTTCAGATCGTCGCAAGTGATTTCCGTTGGTACGTGGCATTCGATTAAAGTCAGCAGACAGGATAGAGATGGTTTTCTACAAGTCGATGATGGTATCGTGACCACAGGTTCTTCCGGACCTCCTCTCAACGAACTTAATTTAGAACTTCCGTTGTACGTTGGAGGAGTACCGTAAGTGTAAAACCATTTTTCCCGCCTTTTTTCCCTTTTCAAAATTAAATAACGTCTTTTTTTTTTTTTTTTTTAATTTGAAAAGTTTGGGCTACGAAGTGAGCAAAGAAATAAAAGCATCAGCGGGTTTCATTGGAGGAATTCAAAGACTTGTCGTTAATCATAATTCGTGGGATGATTTATCTAATTCCACGTTTAAATCGTACAACGTTAAACAATATTCAGGGGTTCCGTGCAATCAAACGTGTCACAACGGCGGATCTTGTCTTCCATATTTAAATACTTTTGTGTGTCTTTGCCCGGTAAATTTTAACGGAAATCTTTGCGAATTAGGTATGGACACGTCAAATCGGTTAACTTCCGGTTGAATAATAATAATAATGATGATGATTTTCATTTGCAGTTGTTAGTAAAACAAGAGAAGATAATCCGATACGTCTGTCTCCGGGAAACTATTTAGAATTTCTTAACAAAGTGTATAAAAAGTAAGTAATGTCGAATGACTCAAAGTTTTAAGAAATTATCTCGATTCCTTCGATTAACAATCGATCGATCGATCGATCGATTCTATTTTCGATTATCGATATCAATTAACAAAAAAACTAAAAATTCCAGTACTAACAATACTAACAATACTAACAATCAATACGATCAATACGATTACGATGAATCCGATATTGAAGAAGATTACGACGAAGAAGATTTTAACGAAGATGATGATGATGGGGATGGTAATGGCGGCGGTGTCGGAGATGGTGTCGATGACATGTACGACGACGAAGACGACGACAGTAAATTTTTTTACGGAGGGTAAATTGCAAGAAAAAACTAATAATAATAATAATAATAATAATAATAATAATTAATAATAATCATTCGGTCGATGTTGTTCTCTTCTTCCTCTTTCTTCTTCTTCTTCATTTTAAAAAACGTTTGAAGTTTGTTTTTTGTTGTAGAAGAAAAGAAGAACACGTGAATAATTACAAAATGGTGATAAAAACAAATTCTAGAAATGGTATTTTATTATGGTTGGGAAAAAAGAAATCAGCCAAAATGGATTTTATATGTATCGGTTTGATCAATGGTTTCCCACAGTTTAGTTTTAAATTAGGAAAACAAAACGAAACGATACACATCGGATCAAAGGTAACCTAATAAACCTTTATCATCATCATCATCATCATCATCATAACAATCTATGATGATTTTTTTTTTGTTAAGGTTTTCGTGAGCGATGGTAAATGGCATACAATAACAGTACATAGAAGAAAAAAAAGAGGATACATACAAACGGATGATGAAATCCCAGTTAAAAAAATTTCTAATTCTTCAACGTCCATATTAACAACAAATGGAAAATTATACATCGGTAATGTTTGTCGTTGTTGTTGTTGATGACGTCATCATCATTCCTACAAAATTTAAATTTAGTTTAATAAAAAAAAAAAATTATAATAATAATATTAATTTTTAGGAGGAGCACCCATATTACCTTCAGGATTGCCAAATGAATATTACGAAGGTTTTTCTGGATGTTTAGAAAGCGTTACAATCGATAGAAAATCATTAGATCTTATAAGCAATCAAAAAAATTTAGAATTCTGTCAAGAAAACGAAGTCTGAAGAAATTTTTCTACATTTTTTGTTTTTTTTTTTTTAAATTTATCCGGCCGCCATTTTTATTTTTTCCGTTACAAATTTTTTTTCGTTGTTGTTGTTGTTTATATTGCAAATTTAGTACGATGTATTCAAACTGAAAATAAAATAATAATTGATTAAATGTTTTAGTTGATAATTTTTTTACGTAATAATAATAATAATAATAATTGTATTACATATCGAAAATTAATAATTTGTATTTATTTTTTGTTTATGATATTAAGTGTTTGGAAGTATTGATAATGATGAGTATTGAAAAAAGCCAAAATAAAAAATTGTTTTTTTTTTTTTTTTTGTTACTTAACGGATTTACTCTTTGAAAAAGTTACTACTATGTTATTATTATTATTGTAAATATTGTAAAATGCATTAGGCATAAATTAATATTTATTATTTACAATAAATATCCTATAACTTTGTAGTTTCTCTCTCTCTCTCTCTCTCTTTTTTTAGATATGTAAACTAATTGTATAAGATTAATATTGTAATTTATTAATATCGAATAATATTAATAATAATAATAATAAAATTAGATTTTATTTAAATTATTTTACCTTTATTTAATACTTTTAGTACTTTTTTTTTTTTTTTTTATCAAATAAAATTTCTAACGGAAAATGGACGCGTTCTTCGTATTTGGTTATGATGACGTTATTTTGTCTTTTTTAATAATTTTGCGTAATGACGCAAAAAAGCAAAAGGAAAAAAAAATTTTTTTTTTTCTCTTCTGCTTTTTTGCGACGTTTTTCCCTAAAATGTCGTTGCGCCGCTGTTTTCTCGTTGGGTTTTCATGTAAAAATGTTTAGGGTGGAAAGATTTTATTTTATAATTTTGATTTGATATTTTAGTCTTTAAACTTTATTTAATTCTGTATACATTTGTTAAAATGGAACAAGTTTTACGTGGTAGTTTTGGGTGAGCTTTCATTTTCCCACAAATTTTTTTTTTAATTTAAATTTTATTATAATAATTAGTGATAAGCAAGTAATACATGAACATATCTAGCGGTGCTAATTTTTTTTTTTTTTTTTTTCCCAATTAAAAAATCGTTGAATTTTAATTATATTTTATAATGATTTTTATTAATCGGTCCCAATTATTATTATCCGAGTTTTAATAATGTCCAACATGTATTTTTTATACATTTTAACCTGTTCAAATGTGTGACTTTGCTTAATATAAATTGATGGAAAAAAAAAAAAAAGAAAAAATTTTTTTAATTCTGTTCAGATTTCATTTATTTTATTTTTATTTTTTTTTTTTTTCAGAACTAACAGTAATTTAGCAAAACTTATTAAAAAGCATAAAAACTTAAAAAGATATAGTGCATTAGTTACATTAAAAAATGGCCCTTTTGCCAGAGAAGTTAGGTATTATTCTGGTCTTAGAAATATTAAATCTAGACAACCACTCTTGTTTCGTACTAATCCTGTAATTATACCAAAATGTGGAGTAGGAATGTTAATAGCTAAAGTTATCAAAGGTGTATTAAAAGTTAGATATTTGATTTTTGGTGGAGTCCTAACCGGTGGATTAACACTTCAAAAGGTAAAAAAATTTCATTTAAATATATTTTCAATGGATCATGTGACTTAAAAATTTTTCTTTTATTTAGGCTTTTGAAGATTGGAAAAATAATGTTTTCGATTTTAAATGGCTCGATGAATATTTACCAGATACAGCACAATGGAATAACATGAGAGTTTCATTAATCGCACTGAAGGACAAAGTTAAAGATAATGTCGAAATGGGTAAAGTCATTTAACACTTTTTTTTTTTTAAAATAATTAATTTGCTCAAAATCTTTAATATTTAACTTTTCATTTATTTAGATCCTAGATTAAAACAATTAATCGGTGCAAAATATAAAAATTATAAAGAATGGTTTGACAATCGTTTAGATCAAGCTTTGGAAGCCGCCGAAAAAGCCAGCCTTGAAAATCATGAAAAACAACAACAACAACAATCGAGTAAGTTTTAAAAATTTTTTCATTTCCAAATAAAATAATTATTTAAATGTATTAAATATAATCGATTGCATCATATAAAATATAATTGCAATAATACACCAATTAGTAGATAGATTTTAAATGTCAATTACCATAATTTAATTTAAGTAGCATAATTATAAGAACAGTTTATAAATATGAATTTTTAAAATCGAAAATAGTTTTACATTTAAGTATAAGATATAATTATTAATTAACTATAACAACCTTAGAATAATACAATACACATTGACAATTTTTTATATTATTTAATCGTTGTAATTAAAACTATTTCTGAGGTCATTTCATAGGTAACATTCATTCTTTTTTTTTTTTTTTTTCCCCCCCCCCCCTCAATAACATTAAAATCTCTCGATTTATCGACAAAATTTTTTTATATGCTGCAGTTTTATTTATAAAAGCAAATTTGTGCATGAGCTATTTTTTTTTTTTGGTAGTCACTAATGGTTGTCTGCTATATTACATTTTTTTTTTTTTTAATTAAAATGCAATGCCCATTTCTGGCTACCTCTGATATACACACATTCCATCAAAATGTTGTTTAAACGACAAAAAATAAATAATAATAATAATGAAATCATACAATATTATTCATTCATTACTTTATATTTGCATATATTTTTTTTGTTTTTTGTTTTTTTTTTTTTTTCTATTTTAATATAGGTGTTACCAACTTCTTGAATAAGGTGTATTCAGGTCAGTTGAATATATATATATATTTTTTTTTTTATTATTATTATCATCATTATTTTTTTTTTTTTCAACTAACCTTTTTCGATTGATGGGGATTGTTTGTTTGTTTGTTTGTTTTGTTTTTAACAGTTTTTTTTTTCTTTTTCGATACAGAATCACTCTCATTGTGAATTGTAATAATTAGTTCTTATTTTTTTAATTTAAATAAATAATAATAATAATAATAAGTTTTCGTTTTTAAAATAAATGTAAGTAATAATAATTATGATAAGTTTTATTTCGAATGAAATTTATATGTCAGGGGTAGCTAAATAATTAATAATATTATTCATAGTTTATCATTTCTTTTATACTTTCATTAATATTATTATTATCATCATCATCAATAAGTTATCGATTTAAATTAGGATTAATAATATTGTTTGTTTTACCCCCAAAGTGTTGGACAATGTCGAACTGTCATGATGACTGAATTTAAGATTAGAATTTTTTTTTGTCTGACTTTGTATAGTGCTTGTGTGAATTTATTAATTTAATAATAATATTATCAAATTGTATGAAATATTAATTATTATTATTATTATTATTTTTTTTTCTAGAAGTGTCCACTACGAAACTTAATGCGATTTCATTCGGCGGATCAGGTTGTGAGTAAAAAAAATAGACAATTATTTGATTTAATTAAAAAAAAAGGAGACGATTGATTAATAATTGTTTTTATTATTATTATTATTATTAAAGCAAAAACGGATAGTTACCAAAACGAGATAATAAGCATGCAGTTAAAATATCAAAAAGAATTAGAAAAATTAGAAAAGGAAAATAAAGAGCTTAGAAAACAATTGCTTTTGAAACGTAGCAAAGTGACGTCGAAAGAAGTTAAAAAATCACTCATCGACATGTATTCGGAAGTACTAGACGAACTCAGCGAATACGATACAAGTTACAACATACAAGATCATCTCCCGAGGGTTGTCGTGGTAGGAGATCAAAGTTCTGGGAAAACGTCCGTTTTAGAAATGATAGCTCAAGCTAGAATATTTCCAAGGTGAAATGAAAAAAACAGGAAATTCACATCGTGCGTGGTCGTAGGGTTGTCATAGTTGTTGTCATTGTTGTTGTTGTTGCTTTTAGAGGTGCCGGTGAAATGATGACTCGTTCTCCCGTCAAAGTCACTCTATCCGAAGGACCCTATCACATAGCACAGTTTAAAGATTCCGCAAGAGAATTCGATTTGACGAAGGAAAGCGATTTGTCCGAATTGAGGAGAGAAGTTGAAATGAGAATGAAAAGTAGCATAAGAGATGGTAAAACGGTGTCACATGACGTCATATCAATGAGCGTCAAAGGTCCAGGATTGCAAAGGATGGTTTTAGTCGATTTGCCTGGAATCATAAGCGTTCGTATTGTGTAAAACCTTTTTAGAAATTTTCAATCGTTCGATAATGACATGGATTTTTTTTTCCCCCTTTCAGACCGTGACGAAAGATATGGCAGGTGACACGAGAGAAGCCATAAGGCAAATGACTCAAACGTACATGAGCAATCCGAACGCGATAATTCTATGCATACAAGATGGCGCCGTCGACGCGGAAAGATCGAACGTAACGGATTTGGTGTCGCAAGTCGATCCTCAGGGTAAAAGAACGATTTTCGTTCTTACCAAAGTCGACGTTGCAGAAGAAAATTTAGCGGATCCGAATAGAGTAAAAAAACAATTTTTCCTTTTTTTCCAACCGGAAGTTAAACTTTCATTTCGTCATCATTTCATCATCATCATCATCATTATGATTTCAGATTAGAAAAATATTAACCGGTAAATTATTTCCAATGAAAGCGCTCGGATATTTTGCTGTCGTCACGGGACGTGGAAGGTCGGACGATTCAATTCAAGCGATCAAAGATTACGAAGAGAAATTTTTCAGGAATTCTAAACTTTTCAAGTAATAATAATAATAATAATAATAATTTTTCGAATCGTTTTGATTATGATCGATTGAATTGTTTTTTTTTGTTTCGTAAGTAGCGATGGCAGCATGGCTTTATCCGCTCAAGTCACGACAAGGAATTTAAGTTTGGCCGTTTCCGAATGTTTTTGGAAAATGGTGAGAGAAACCGTCGAACAACAAGCGGATTCGTTTAAAGCGACTCGTTTCAATTTGGAAGCCGAATGGAAAAATAATTTTCCAAGGTCGGGAAAGAATCCCTCCCCCCTCCCTGCTTTTTCCCCCTTTTTTTTAGTTGAATTTTTTTTTTATGGAACGTGAACGTTTTTTGCAGGTTGCGCGAATTGGATCGAGACGAATTGTTCGAAAGAGCAAGAGGAGAAATACTTGACGAAATTGTTAATTTATCCCAAGTGACTCCCGGTCAGTGGGAAGAATTACTTTGGAAAAAACTCTGGGAAAAATTTTCGTCTCACGTTTTCGAAAATATTTATCTGGCAGCCGCGCAATCGGGCGATATAGGTACGAATAGGAATATCGATCGTATCGTTCGTATCGAAAACGATAACCGAATTGAATTATTTTTTTTTTTCTCGATTCTAAGGTCAATTTAAAACGATCGTCGACATAAGGTTGAGACAGTGGGCGGAAAATGAACTCCCGCAAAAATCCGTCGAAGTCGGTTGGGAAGCGCTCCAGGAAGAATTTCGACAATTTTTAGACAAGGCGAAAAATTCAAAAGATCACGACGATCTTTTTGATAATTTAAAACAAGCCGTCGTCGACGAAGCTTTGGCGAGGCACACGTGGGAAGATAAGGTACGTGTCCGGAAAAGAAAATCCTAGAGGGAGGATGATTTAATTAGGGGGCCGGGAGTTGGTGGCGTGCTCCTGTAATCCAGCTACTTGGAGGCCGGGTTCAGCGGATGACTCTGATCGTGTAATTCGGATCCTACTTGTTGCGCATTTTTAATAAACGGTCGACGGGACGCCCTGACCCAGTGTTTCCGCCGGCCGACAGGGTATTTAGGGACTTGTTGGCTCGATGCGCGGCGGTTGAGAGCCGTTTTCCCCGATCGCAGACCAAGAGTCAGACCTGTACCTTACCAACCTTCCGGGGGGAAAAAGAAAGTGTGGGGCTCGGCACTTTTCTTTCAGGGTTTCATCATCCTGCCCGGGAAAACGGGGATGCGAGCGGAAGGACTGCGGGGAGATCTTCTGCGTGGGATGAACCGGACTTCCTTTCGCGGGGGATCGACTCGTCGTCCGGAAACTCGTCATTCTCGGGGGATGGTTCGCCTGCTTAAGAACGGTGCGTGCGATTCATTCCAACGGTAGAAAGAAGATGCGAACAAAGATAAAGATCGGGACGATGACGTCGACGTCGGAGTCCGCACCGGTCGGATTCTCGCACTTCGGACTGCAACAGTCAATCGAACGGCGGCAGGGACGAAACGCGGACGGCAACCTCGGAACTTCTCTGCGCCTCCGGAAGCTCACTTCGTCTCTGCGGGGAGGCGGGAACGACGTGGCAGTTCGGTACCGTCTCCCGGGGCACGAGGGAGAAAAGGATTCGTCCCGGCTTCGATGCGTCGGCGTTCTCCGCGGCGATCGGAGTCTGGCAAACTTTCGGTCGTCGCGGGGTCGTCGGGGATGGAACGGGGATTAACGTTATCTCTTTTCAGGTGCGAATTTTCGGGTTCTTCCAACACGGAGGGCGGCGGGAGAGCGAAACGGAAGGAGTCAGCGAGTCGAGCGGGAGTCGCGCCCCGTTCGGTTCGTCCGGGTCCGGAAGCTCGCGTCTTCTGTGGCGGAGGCGGGAGCGACGTGGCAGGTCGCGAACGTCTCCGCAAAGGTGAGGGTGAAAACGCTCTGCGGCGGCGGGCGCAAGCCCGTCATCGTGAGGCGAATACACACTCACACATACACTTCTTTTCTTTCTTCTCGAGGGTCGGCGACCCCGGTCGATTCCTCTTCTGTCCCCCTTTCTATTTCCCACACCGTTAGGGAGGATGCGATCAAATAATTCTTCACTTTAATCTTTTTACCCTTTTCAGGTGACGTGGTAAGTCTCAATCCCCAGCTCCGATCGCATCCTCAGGAAACAGGCGAGTTTCCCGTCTATTTCCCCACGGCGAGGGACCGGAGGACACTTCCGAAAGGAGGTGCCGAACGTCCCGGGAGGTGCGTTCTCATCTTCGAGGAGGAGACGGAACGGAGATTAGGGCGGACCTCCCTAAAAGTGATCATGTGAAACGGCAAACGTTCTGACCTACCGGACAGGGGAGACTGAAATGTAGGTTAAACTCCCACGAGCGTCTCCCCCCCTTTCCATACAGGTCACGCTCTAGCGACATGCCCAGGAGTTTTAGTGAGTAGGGGTCTCCGTTTAGGCTTTCTTTCGATTCCAAACCGATCCCCACACTCCCTCTGTAGCAGGAGGGGTTGTGCGTAACTTGAATTTCTCCTGGGTTATAAAAAAAAAAAAAAGGTTGGGGGCCGGGAGGGGGCCGGGTGTTAGTGGCGTGCTCCTGTAATCCAGCTACTTAGAGGCCGGGTGCAGCGGATGACTCTGATCGTGTAATTCGGATCCTACTTGTTGCGCATTTTTAATAAACGGTCGACGGGACGCCCTGACCAAGCGTTTCTGCCGGCCGACAGGGTATTTAGGGACTTGTTCCCAATGCGCGGAGGTTGAGAGCCGTTTTCCCCGATCGCAGACAATGAGTCAGACCTGTACCTTACCAACCTTCCGGGGGGAAAAAGAAAGTGTGGGGCTCGGCACTTTTCTTTCAGGGTTTCATCATCCTGCTCCGGGAAAACGAGGATGCGAGCGGAAGGACGGCGGGACGATCTTCTCGCGTGGGATGGTACGGCTCCTTTCGCGGGGGATCGACTCCTCTTCGGAAACTCGTCATTCTCGGGGGATGGTTCGCATGCTTAAGGACGGTGCGTGCGATTCATTCCAACGGCAGAAAGAAGATGCGAACAAAAAATGAAGATCCGGATGACGACGGCTCCGACAATGACGACGACGTCGGAGTCCGCACAGGCCGGATTCTCGCACTTCGGACTGCAACAGTGAATCGGACGGCGGCAGGGGCGAAACGCGGACGGGCTGCGGGGAATGTTTCGTCGGGTCCGATACTTCGAAGCTCACCGCCTCCGGAAGCTCACGTCGTCTCTGCGGGGAGGCGGAAACGACGTGGCAGGTCGGTACCGTCTCCCGAGGCACAAGGGAGGACAGGATTTGTTCCGGTACTCCGAGTCGGGCCCCGGATCTCTTACTCGATTACGTCGGGGGGAGATTCGTCCCGGCTTCGGTGCGTCGGCGTTCTTCGCGGCGGTCGAGGTCTGGCAAACTTTCGGTCGTCGCGGGGTCGTCGGGGATGGTACGGGGATTAACGTTATCTTATTTCAGGTGCGGATCCTCGGGATCTACCAAGCGAACGGCGGCGGGAGGACGAAACGGAAGGAGTCGGCGATTCGGGCGGGAGTCGCGCCCCGTTCAGTTCGTCCGGGTTCGGAAGTTCGTTTTCCCGCGGGGAGGCGGAAACGGCGTGGCAGGTCGGAGTCGTCTCCCGGGGCACGAGGGAGGAAAGGTTCGTCCCGGTACTCCGAGTCGGGCTCCGGATCTCTTTCTCGATTACGTCGGGGGGAGATTCGTCCCGGCTTCGATGCGTCGGCGTTTTTCGCGGCGGTCGAGGTCTGGCAAACTTTCGGTCGTCGCGGGGTCGTCGAGGGGGGGAACGGGGATTAACGTTATTTCTTTTCAGGTGCGAATTTTCGGGTTCTTCCAACACGGAGGGCGGCGGGAGAGCGAAACGGAAGGAGTCAGCGAGTCGAGCGGGAGTCGCGCCCCGTTCGGTTCGTCCGGGTCCGGAAGTTCGTTTTTTCCGCGGGGGAGGCGGGAACGACGTGGCAGGTCGGTACCGTCTCCCGGGGCACGAGGGAGAAAAGGATTCGTCCCGGTACTCCGAGTCGGGCTCCGGATCTCTTACTCGATTACGTCGGGGGGAGATTCGTTCCGTCTTCGATGCGTCGGTGTTCTTCGCGGCGGTCGGAGTCTGGCAAACTTTCGGTCGTCGAGGGGGGGAACGGGGATTAATGTTTTTGATGTTCAGGTTCATGTCTTCGATCTTTCTCCCGGAGTGAGCATTGGCATGGGCGCGCAGGTGAAGGAGGCGAGCGGTCCGGCCGGGAGTAGCGAACCCGTCCGGGGCGTGCGGTTCCGGAAGCTCGCGTCTTCTGTGGCGGAGGCGGGAGCGACGTGGCAGGTCGCGAACGTCTCCGCAAAGGTGAGGGTGAAAACGCTCTGCGGCGGCGGGCGCAAGCCCGTCATCGTGAGGCGAATACACACTCACACATACACTTCTTTTCTTTCTTTTCGAGGGTCGGCGACTCCGGTCGACTCCTCTTCTGTCCCCCCTTTCTATTTCCCACACCGTTAAGGAGGATGCGATCAAATAACTCTTCTTTTTAATCTTTTTACTCTTTTCTGGTGACGCGGTAAGTCTCAATCCCCAGCTCTGATCGCATCCTCAGGAGACAGGCGAGTTTCCCGTCCAATTCCCCACGGCGTGGGACCGGAGGACACTTCCGATAGGGGGTACGGCTAACGTTCTGACCTACCGGAGGGGGAGACTGAAACGTAGGTTAAACTCCCACGAGCGTCTCCCCCCCTTTCCATACAGGTCACGCTACAGTGACATGCCCAGGAGTTTTAGTGGGTAGGGGTCTCCGTTTAGGCTTTCTTTCGATTCCAAACCGATCCCCACACTCCCTCTGTAGCAGGAGGGGTTGTGCGTAACTCGCATTTCTCCTGGGTCATCAAAAAAAAAAAAAAGATGATTTAATTAAAAAAAATTTAAATTTGTTTGTAGGCTGCCGACATGTTGAGGGGTATTCAATTGAATTCGTTGGAAGATAGGGCGGTGAGCGAAAAGCAACAATGGGACACGGCCGTTAAATTTTTAGAAACGAGCGTCAAGGAAAAATTAATAGAAACGGAAAATACATTAAACGAAATGTTCGGGCCTGGTAATAATTTATCGATTCATCGATCGATCGATATATCGATCCTTCCGCCTCATTTTCATTTTTTGTTTTTTATGACGTAGGTGCCAAAGACAGGTGGTTGTATTGGTTATCGAAAACTCCGGAGCAGATAAAACGTAGCGCAGTTAAAAATGAATTAGATAAATTGTTAAAAAGTAATTACGTAAGTGTTGTTGTTGTTGTTTGTTCGTCGTTGTTTGTCGCACGGCTTCGTTCGTATTGACTTTTTTTTTTCTGTTGTCACGACAGAATCACACGCCGACGTTGAGTTTCGAAGAGTTGACGACGATTAGGAAAAATTTACAAACGATAGACATCGAAGTCGATGCGGATTTCATAAGGGAAACGTGGCATCCGGTGTACAAGAGACATTTTCTCAACAAGTCACGAGCCAAAGTCTACGATTGCAGGAAAGCTTTTTACATGTATCATCAAGGTCTCGAATCGGAGGTTGGTGAAATTACGAATCGATCGATCGATCGATCGATCAATCGAATCGAATCGAATTTATTCATTTATTCCGTTTAATATGTTCAGGTCGATTGCAGCGACGTAGTTTTATTTTGGAGAATACGGCAGGTTCTTAAGGTGACGTCGAACGCTTTGAGACAGCAGGTCATGAACAGGGAAGCGAGGAGGTTGGATAAGGAAATAAAAGACATTTTAGAGGATTACAGTCAAGATCAGAAGAAAAAGGAAAAATTATTGACCGGGAGACGAGTCACGTTAGCCGAAGAATTGAGTTCGTTTTTTCCATTCATTCAATCATTCAATCAATCATTCATTCCCTATTATTATTATTATTATCATGGATACTTTTTTCTTTCTGTTTGCAGAGCGAGTGCGTCAGATACAAGAAAAATTAGAAGAATTTATTCAAGCTCTTAATAAGGAAAAATGATGGAGTGAAAATATTATACGATCAAAGTTGTGAGTTGTTCTACCATCATCATCATCATCATCGTCACCATCATCATCATCATCATTATGAGTTTTTTTTTCTGGAATTTTCAGGCATGTCAGTTAACAGTATATATGTATGTATATATAAAAAGCTTCCAACAAAGAAAAAATGGCAGGAAGAAAAAGGGAGAAAGGGAGAGAAAGACAATAAGAGGATGATGCTGCTGCAAGAGGATCAGTTGTCGATTTTTAAAAGTGAAAAAAAAAAATTCAGTATGATAATAATAATAATAATAATAATAATAAATACAGGCAGTCATACGTGCGCGCGCAGGGAGACAACCGTCGTACATAAACTTATTTATATATATATATATAATTTACATATATATTTATTTTTAATTTATAATAAAAAAAAAAAAAATAAGAAATTTTTTTTTTTTTAGTCCGAATCCAATGAATGATTATTATTATTATTAATAATAATAATTGGATTAGTTTTCAAATATTTAGAAACTCGAATAACTAATAATAATAATGATAATGATGATGATAAGGATAAGAATAAGGATAAAATGACGAAAAAGGAAAAAATAATGGAAAAAAATAAAAAATTTATTTATTTATTTATTTAAAAATTGTTTTATCATCATTTATTAAATTTCAATCTATATTTTTATTCATTTATTATTATTATTATTATTATTATTTGTTAAACAGTGCTGTTAACTTTACAAAAACAAAAACAAAATGTTAGGAAAATTTTTTTTAAAGGAAAAAAGGGGGGGGAGGAAAAATTGTTGGAAATAATGATTATTAATATTATTATTATTATCGATGAGGAAAGAAAGATTGTTTAGGTTTTTATTATTATTATTATTATTATTATTATTCAAATTTTCTAAAATGATTATTTAAAGGACCTTCATCTGCATATCCTGCAATTTCCTGTGGTACTATAGCGCTCGGTTCGATTCCTGTGCATGGCCTGCACATGCATTCCAAAGGAGCTTTTGTCGTTACCTCAAAAAGAAAATAAAAAATTTATGATGAGAGAGAGAGAGAGAGAGAGAGAGAGAGAGGGAGAGAGAGGAAATGGATGGATTACCTTTCTGAATTTTCTTTCACCAGGTTTTGCTTTCGGACAAAATAAATTAACGGATGCTTCTCTTTCTCCACTTTCTTGACAACACATGCAAGATCTTTCCATTTGCCATATTTTACTACCCGATACCTTAATCAATAAAACATTATTATTATTATTATTACGACTAGTCGTTTGGAAAAAAGAACCATAACAAACCTGAAGATAACTGCTACATCTTCCGGTACATGCAAACGATGGTATAGGTTTTGGTACGCAACCCGGATATTGAAGAACGTGAATGACTGGAGTTACTTGACAATCATCGGTTGCAAGTGAAGATTGTATACCGTGATGACCGATAACGAAAATCAATGGAAACCAAATTGTTAATAAAATCACTGGAGAAAAATTTTAATAAATATAAAAATGGAATTTTCCAGAAAAAAAAAAAAAAAAGATTTTAACTTAATAATGATAATAATAACCCGTTTCGATATTTGTACGTTTGATGATCATTTCTTATCCTTTAAATAATTTTTAAAAAATTCGATGGAGAAGAATGAATGATTGATTGATTGAAAGTTTCGCGATAGACTGGAGAAGAAAAAAGAAAAGGAAAAAAGGAAAATTTTTTTCACTTGTTCGATTTACTCAGCGTGAAGCTTTTAGGTTAAACATGAAAAATGTATTTAAACGCTTTTCCTTTTGATTTAATATTTTCATTATCGAAATATTTATATAAAGAATGTTCTAGAATAATTTATTATCGACGGGGAAGGTTGTTTCCCCTCCCCTCCTTCCCCCCACCTTCTAACGGTTTTAATGCCGACGACAGCAGCTAAAAATTTTATGACGTCACCCCCCCCCGCACTTATTCCAGCATTTGATAAACCGTGAAAAATTACTTTAAAGTTGGAAAAACTTACCGGAAGTAATTATAACGTTTTTACTCTATGATCGAGAGAGTCTCTGGAATTTTCCAGGTTTTTCTTTTGTTTAAGGATAGGAAGGAAAATTTAAAATTAAAGTAAACATTTTTTTGTTTATATTTAAAAAATTTTTATTTTTTATTTTCTTTTAATACATAATAATAATAATAATAATAATTTAAAAAATGGCGGTAGTTCTCTTTCTCTCTCTCTCTCTCTCTTTCTCTCTCTGTTCAACATTTAGAACATTTACAATCGTTTGGTTCTTTCAATTTGATATCCATACTTTTTCTAGAATCTTCTGTTAACCTGATACCATCGGAATCGTAACAGTGCGTTAATGTTATTATTCTTTCTCGAAGGAACTTCTCTACAGCAGAAACATTCCTTTTGTTCCAGTACCCCCCCCCAATGAAAAAAGAATGAGTGATTAATAATAATAATGATAATCATAATGATAATGATGACGATGATACCTTTAAGAATCCCGTTGATGTGACGACACTCGGTTGTACCTGTGACGTACAGGCTCCTTCGCATTTATTAACGGATATTTCACCGCTGCAAGTTCTTTCCAATCTTCCAACATCGTCGAATTCCTCTTGAATTTAAAACAAAAGAAAAAAATGGTGGATGATTATGACGTCATTATACAAATTAAAATAATAATAATAATAATATTAATTAACTTACCTTTAATTATGTGTATGAACGAGGGTAAAGTTTCGCAAAATTCTTCTTTTTCACCCGAAATTTTATTTGTTAATTCAATTAATATTATAACGAAACTTAATACGAAACATGATTGAATGACCTGTTTAATTATTATTATTATTATTATTATTATTAAGGTTTTATGGTTGAAAATTATATATTACTCTCGGCGGTTTTTTTTTTTTTTTTTTTGGAAAAACTTACTTACCATGATTTTATTTATTTATTACGTGTTATCACTTTGTTTGACAAAAGGTCTTTGAACTAATAATATAAGACAAAAATTTAAAAAAATTTTCACTGGAAAAACTTTTCTCTCTCTCTCTCTCTCTTTCTCTCTCTTTTGCTATTTTTCAGTCTTGCGCTTTGTCGTTTTTTGGTCTTATCGTCTCATTTGTTTCTCTTTTTTTTTCTTTCTTTCTCTATCCATTTCTCTTCATCTACTTTCCTCTCTTTATCCACTTCCCTTCATCTGCTTTCCTCTCTCTATCCATTTCCCTTCATCTACTTTCCTCTCTCTATCTATTTCCCTTCATCTACTTTCCTCTCTCTATCCATTTCCCTTCATCTACTTTCCTCTTTCTCTCTCTCTCTCTTCATCTCCCTTCATTTTTCTATTTCTCTTTCCCTTCCTCTCTATTTCTCTTCTCTTACTTTTTCTGTCTTTCTCTCTTACTCTCTCTCTCTCTCTCTCTTCATAGAATATCATACATTCCTCTCTCTCTCTCTCTTTCTCTCTCACACTCTCTCTCCTCATCTACCTTCCTCTCTCACTCTTTTTCTCTTTCCCTTCCTCTTTCTCTCTCATTTTCTTCATCTCTCTTCATTTTCCTCTTTCCCCCTCTCTCTCACACTTTTTCCCTTTTCATCTCCCTTCATTTCTCTCTTGCTCTCTCTCACTCTCACTCTCTCTCCACCTTCCTTCTTCTTTTCTTCTTTCTCTTTCCCTTCCTTTTTCTCTCTCTCTCTCTCAGTCTTTCTATACATCGTTCCTGTTTGGTACCTGTAAAGTCATTAAAAAAAAAATATATATATATATATATATAGGTAACAATAATAACAACAATAATAATGATAATATGCTGTCGTCATAGTTTGACGTCAGAAAATTCAACATTCGAAGAAAAACTTTTTATTTATTTATTTATTTATTTATGACGAATTCGAACAAAACCACAAATTATTATTATTATTATTATTATTATTAATTAAAGAACAATAAAAAAAAAAAATTAATAATTTATAAAATTGAAAAAATTATTATTAAAAATAATAATAATAATAATAATATTTTAGACTCCCTCTCGGGTGCCCCCCAAACGTTTAACACGAAATATGATTTTATTACTGATGAGAAATTTTTTTTTTATTTTTTCTCTTCCCCCCCCCCGTTTCCGTGTTCGAAAACCTTTTGGAAACCTTTTTTTCCCGCCATTTTTTTTCCGTTTCTTTAAATTGATTTATTCAATTAGTGCGTTCACTTCCTCTATGGATCCTCATTTGAATAAAGAAAAAAATTCGATTTTAACGTTAATTAAATTTATTATTATTATTATCATCATTATTATCACGTTTGTTATCATTAAATTAAAAACGAATAAATTTAAAAAAAAAAAAAAAAAGAAAAAAAATTTCTACGATTTCAATTTAAAAAAAAAAAAAAAAAAAAAACGATTTGTCGTAGTGAGACTGAACGTACACCGTAAAAGTCATAAGCTAAATACGTATCGATCAGGTACACGAAAACTCATTGAAATTCGTTTTTTAACGTGTAATAAGAGAGCGTTAAGGAATCAGTTTGGTACGTCACGTCGTTGACTAAAAACACGTTTTTTTTTTTTTTTTTTACGTACGTACGTACGAATTCGTTTGTTCATATAAGTCCGACATACAAACAAACAAACACCAAATAAAAATTTCGTCACACGCGGTTTTAATAATAAAACAAAATTATTCTCGTCAACGGTTTTTTGTCGTCCTCTTTTGTTTGTCCGTTTGTTTGTTTGTTTGTTTTATATGGTGCGTTAAAATATTACGGAGTTTTTAATGATATTTTCCGTTATAAATTAACATTTTATAAACTGTCGTTAGTAGTGTGTTTGTTTTTATCAATCAATCGTTTGTACGCGAAGAAAAAAGTATAAAAAATTTTCTACCGACATCTTCGGATGTTTAACGACACTGATAATAATAATAATAATAATAATAATAATAATAATAATAATTTTCCCGTGAAATTTTACGTAAGAAAATTTGTCAAAACGGATTTCCTCAGGACAAATGTCATCACTCCTTATTGGGATAAGATGGCACCTTTATTTAAAGACTCATTTTCGGTAAGTTATCATTATTATTATCATCAACTTTTTTTCTCTAGAAAACAAACGAACAAACAAACAAACAAACGATCGATTTTTATTATTTTTTTGGGGGAGGGGTTTTCACTGTCGTACATTTTTAAAAATTTTTTTCCCCATATGAAAATCGCTTGTTTTATTATTTAAAGGTTTGTTTGTACGTAGGTTCGTTTGTTCGTTTGTTTGTTTGTTAAAAAATTTTAATTTATGACGTTTGTAGAAATTTATCACGGTTGTGTCATCACGTTTAATTTATTAAACATAAAATAATTTTTTTTTTTTTAAATTTAATTTAAAACTTTAAAATTAAATGATTGCAATAATAATAATAATAATAATAATAATAATAATAATTTTATTACGTGAGTGCGTGTGTGTGTTCGTACTCATTTTTTACGACATTAAAAATCACGTCGTGGCATTAGAGAACATGGATTTTAATTAATATTAATTAGTTATGTTATTTTTAGATTTTATCACGTTTTAAAACGGTTTTTTAAATGTGATAATGAATTTTGTCGGCGTTCTCTACCTATGAATGTTAATAGTTTTTTTTTCCGTTTAAAGAAAAAATTTAAATTTCCCTCCAAAAAAAAAGCGCCAACGCCATCACCACCACCACCATCCACCCTCCCCTCTAACGGATTTTTTTAAAACTAAAAAACAAAACAAAAATTTTTTTCCTCATACTTCGAAAAGGATTTTCACAAGGAGGTTTCATGTTTTAAACCTTTCAAGTTCGATCAGGGTAGGATTAAGGACAATTATATATTTTTCCCCCTCTCTACTACCACGTTTCTCGAATGTTCTTGTTTCTTTTCTTCGCTCTATGAAAATTCTTGGGAAAATAAAAATAAAAAAAAAAAAAAAAAACTTTTTCGACGCGACCCTCGAAAGTGAATAAATAATAATACGATTATTATTATTATTATTATTTTTGTCGCACTTGAATCATTCAATGACGATAATGATAATGATAATAATATTAAAAAAAACAATGCTTTGAAAAAACAAATAATAATAATAATAATATTTTTTTTGCAACCTTAAATTGTAGTCAAAACGAATATTTTCCATCAAGGTGTTTTAATTATTTATTATTATTATTATTATTATTATTATTAATAAATGAAATTTTCATTCGGACAAACATAGACAAAACATTGAAAAAAATGTTTATGAGTAGCCATTTTGTTTTCCCCTTCCCCTTCCCCTCCCCTCCGATCAACATATTAAATTTGAATTTAACTCGTGTGTGTGCACGTGGGCTAACACTTAATGTGTGTGGGAATCCCCTAAAAATTCCAGTTCAAACTTTTTTTTTTTGTTATTACGTCACAAATTTTATTCTAATCCGTTTGTAGTTGTTTGTCACCCGCATCTCGTTTGTTTATGTTGTTTGTTTACGTTAGTTTTAAATAATTGACCCAAAAACTATCGATCGAATCTAGGACATAATTAGTTTTTTTTAATTTCTCCATTTTCTTTTGAAAAAAAAAATGACAAAAACAATTTTTTTTGTTTATCGTCTGCTTGTTTGTGTTTTTCTCTACTATCGATAACAATTCACTCGTTACAAAAAAACAAAACAAAAAAAAATTCGTTTGATAATTGATAACAACAACGTCGGGAATGAGAGAGAGAGAGAGAGAGAGAGAGGAAAAAAAAATTCATTGATTTTGTACGATTGAGGGGTAGGGGGGCGCGACACAACGGAAAAGGAGAGAGAGAGAGAGGCCTAAATTATTTACTTTCACGTATAATAATAATAATAATTGAATGATTCGATATTAATTTAAAAAAACGTCCGTTATCCCCGAATGTTATCGGTTGTTTCGATTGTTTTGTTGTTGTTGTTGTTGTTGTGGTTGTCTCGAGAGAGAGAGAGAGAGAGAATCTCGTCAAATGATTACCGTTAAAATATTATCATTATGGATCCCGTGTTTCGTGGATTTAGGGATCCTTGAAAAAAAAAAAAAAAATTAAAATTCGTAACGTTTTTTTTTTTTTGTCTAATAAAATAAGTCATTGACATTTTACCCAAAAATAAAATAAATAAATAAATAAATTTATTAATGCGGACGTGAAATAATAATAATGATAATGATTTAATAATTATTATTTCACTTTTCGAAAATGTCGATTATTTCGAAATGGTTTTCTTAAAACGAGTTATATTTAATTCTCGTGCCACGTCTTTTTTTTTTTAAAAAAACTCCAAATAAATGTGGATAAACTAGTGAAATTCGGAAGCGTCGATTTCTTAATTATATTGCATTCATGTCTCGTGAAAATAATAATAATAATAATAATAATAATAATAATAATAATAAAAGTTTCTCTCTTTTACTATAATTTTTTTTCAATATTATAATTTTAAAAAAACTTTTGTCTTTTTTTTTTTATTAAAAATGGCGACAGAGAAATTTTTGAAAAAAAAAAAAAAAACTTTCTTCCGATTGTTGTTTGTCTGTTTGTTTGTTTGTTTTCGGAAAATCTTTCAATGTTAATTTTTTTAAATTTTTTCACAAGTTTTCTTTTTAGAATAATAAATTATGAGAATTTTATTAAAAATTATTATAACTCCGCCATATTTGATTTCATTCACTTTCGTTTGGTAAAAATTACAAAAAGGTATGAAACGAATCCCCTCCCCCTTCCCCTTCGTACCTTTCGTACCCCCCTTCCCTATCGATTTCTTATTTCTGAATCGAAAACATAAATAAACCTGGGAAGACGAGTAGTAATAATAATAATAATAATTCAAGGTAAATAATATTTATTTAAAAATACGAAGGGCGGACGTACGATTAGGAAACGTTGATTCGGCACACGCTTTTTTTTTTTTTTTGTTTATATTTTCTTATTCGATTCATTTGCTTTTTGCATCAGCCATAATGATGATAACAACAACAACAACAACAACAACAACAAACAAAACAATCGACTTAAATTTTTTTTTTTTTTTTTAATTAAAAACAAACGATTAAGATTTTTACAGAGTAAGAAAGATTCAGGTGTGGAAAATCATCATCGAATCGTATGCATATATATAACACGAACGAAACATAAATTATATTATTAATTATTATTGTTATCGTTAATTGGTATTCAGGTATTGTCGGTGGCGGCGGTGGTGGTGGTGTCACGTGGTGTCGATGTGCCGTTTTTCCTTTTCCCCCTACCCTCCCCTCGTACACACACAAACGCTACCTCAAGCACGCACAACAATCTCCTCACCTTCTGTCACCATATTTTTTTTATTCTTCTTTTATCCGTAATGAATGATAATTAGTCAATAATAATAATAACGATAATAATAATAATAATAATGATGATGATGATAATAATAATAATGATGATGATAATAATAATAATAATATATTCGATAGGATTTCCGTCCGGCTCATTTAAGTCTAAATATTTTTTTTGTATTCGAGGTCGATTTTTGAATACCCGTGAGAGGTCGCGACGACGTACTCGCGAGTACGACGACACTACCGTTAATAATAATAATAATAATAATAATAATAATAATAATAATAATAATAATAATAATAATAATGTTTTGTATAAATTTTCGCGTTCGATGATGATGATGATTCGTACGGAGTTCGATAAGATTTTATAAACAATTATCGAAAATTTTAAAATGACCGACCGAAGGTGAAGGGGGGGGGTGAAGAGGGAGGTAGGAGAAGAGGTTAGGTATCGTTGAAGGTACGACAGGTACGGTTAAAATGAAACGGGATGATATTCATTAATAACAATTTCTTTCGAAAGTTTGTGAATTAAAAAAATTTTTTTTTTTTTTTACGGTTTAATTACCGTAAGTTAAACATGCGTTAAAAGTGATGATGATGATGATGATGATGATGAGACGACGGCAACCGTGAATCAAAACAGCATCTCTATGAGAGAGAATCAATTGTAACGAGATGATTTTTTTTTTTTTTTAAACTGTGCGGGAGGCAAAATGGGCTAAATTAAAAAATTATTTTTTCTTTTTTTTTGGACGTAAGCCATTCATATTGAGATTAGTTAGTAGTTTGTATTCGTGTGACTGTCGTCGTCGTCGTCGTCGTCGCGTTATTATTATTATTTTCTTTTGCTGTTGTTCCTCCCGTTTTCCGATGCTGTTGTGATCGTTTAATTTTTTTAAGTGGTGCGTGTTTGTGTGTGACTTTATTATCATTATTAAAGAGTACCAAAAACCTTTGGTAAATTATAATAAAATCTTATTTTGTTTGGCGTTTCTAAGAGAGAGAGAGAGAGAGAGAGGGGGCATAAAAAAAACAATAATAATAATAATTAAAACGAATCGTAGTAATAGTAGTAGTATTAATAATAATAATAATTTTGATAGTTTACGATGAGTACCTCCCGACTGTCGCCGACCTGAAAAAAATTTTTTTTTTAAGGGAAAACGCGGTAGGGAAAAAATTTCCCTCAATTTTTAAAATTAAAACGCAAAAAAAATTTTTTTTTTTTTTTTGGCAAAAAGTGCAAATTTTAAATTTATTTTAATTTTTATTTTCTGACTCCAGGGGAGAGAGTGAGAGAGAGAGAGAGAGAGAGAGAGAGAGAGATAGAGAGAAAGAGAGAAAAAGAGAGAGAGAAGCGAAATATAAAAAAAAATTTTTTCTATCTTTTGCCTTCCGGTATAAATAAACCATCGATTTTATTTACGTCGTCGTCGTCGTTATCATCATCATCATCATTAATATTTAAATAATAATATTAATAATAATAATAATTAATTTGCTTGTTGATTTGTCGAAAAGGTGTAAACGCGAGAGAGAAAAAAATTACATTTTACGCAATTAATTAATAAATTATTTATTAATAATAATAATAATAACTTATTAATAGCCTACCTAACAACCTTATACCTGGCAAAAAATCAATTACGTTTTTTTTTTTTTTTTTTTTTTTATTTACTTAATATGATAATTACGATGATGATGATGATGATGATGATGATATTATGAAATTTTTATTTTTCTTGGTTGATTTTATTTAAAAAAAAAAAAAATTTATTATTTTTAGTAAAAGCGTACCTATACGATCATTGTACTTGGATAGGTACGATTCTGATCGTACCTGTCTAGTCTGAAACGAGAGATTTTTTTTTCTTTTGTCTTGAATGTAAAAATTAAACAATTAAGAGAAAAATAATTAAAAAAAAAATGAATGAAAGCAAAAGTTTTTTGATTTAATATCAGCAAAACTTTCTTCTAACAAAAACAACAACAACAACAATAGTAATAATAATAATAATAATAACAATAATAATAATAATAATAATAATAATAATAATAATAATAATAATATTCTCTCTCTTTCTCTCTCCCTCTCTCTCTTTCACTCTCTCGTCGTATTTTCTCTCCGAATTTTTTTTTTTTTTTTTGAAACAATTTAATATTATTTAATGATGATATTATCATCATCCTCATTATTATTATTATTATTATTATTTATATCAAAACTTGCACCTGTAGGTGATACGATCGTCTTTTTTTGCCTAACTAAATTTTGTACACGCCAACAACAACAACAACAACAAACAAAAAAATCTTTTATTAATCGTAGCCTACTTTTTAAACTTTCTTTTTTTTAAATTTTTTTTTTTACGCGGGCACCTTCATTTAAATAATAATAATAATAGTAATAATAAGATTGTATTAGAATTTAATAAAGGCAATCGTATTAGTTATAATAATAATAATAATAATAATAATAATAATAATAATAATAATAATAACGAAAATGATGATTGATGAATTTTCTATTACACAAAAAAAAAAAAAAGGCGGAAGAATATTAAAAAATAATAATAATAATAATAATTCGTTTTCTTATTGTTTTTTTTCGAGTACTAAATAATAATAATGACGTGGTAGTAGTAGTAGTAGTGGAAGAGATGCTTTCTCTGCCCACCATCATCATCATCATCATCTCGGGTATGAGGAAGAATAATTTATTGTTATTATTATTATTACTATCGTTACGTAATTTTCATTTGTTTTTTAAATCTCTTATTATAAATATTCAATTAAATTTGAAATCAATTTAAATTTCAATTATAGAAAAATTATACAAAGTTAGTTCCACGTCAAAAAAAAAAAAAAAACTATCAAAATTATTTTACGTCATTCATTAATGACACGTTTTCGATTCGATTTTTTTTTTCGAAAATTCTAGAATTTCATTTCGAAATTTTTTATTTTACAAAACACCAACAAAATGAGATTTTATGACGTTTTTTTTTTTTTTAATTTATAAATTTAATTATAGAATAAATTTAAATTTAAATTTAAATTTAAAAAATGTCTGAACAATCGAAAAAGTTAACGACGGAAACGGTAAATGATAAAAATGTCGAATCATCATTAAAACCTAATAAATCAACACTTCACGAAATAATAATTAAAAATAATAATAATAATAATAATAATAATAATAATAATAATAATAATAAACAAACGAATGATGGAATTGAAAACGTGGCTAAAGAAAATGAAGAAGAAGAGGAAAAAGGAAAAAAATTAGAAAAAAATGTATCGACTTTATATAAAATAATATCGAGTCAAAACATGTTAGTCAAAGAATTGGGGGGTGGGAGAAGAAAAAATGATGACGAAGGCATAGAGTATGAAAACGTTATGGAAAAATCAAAGGAAGATAAAGAAAAGGAAACGGCGGTGGCGGTGGCGGAAAACACGATTTATTTCAGCGACGGTGGTGGAAGGGGAGAAGGAGTAAAAGAAAATAAAAAAAAAAATATAGAAATAAAAAAATCAACGGTCGAAATAAAAATATCGTCATCGTCTTGTTGCGATTTGAGTAAAAAATCACAAACGAATTTATATATTCCGGAACATTATTCAACTCCCGAACCTCAGGGACCTACGAAAACCGTTAAAAAAGATGATTTAAATCTAAGCGATTTATGTAGCATAAGATTTTCCTTTCTCGATAGCAGCCCCCCCCCTACCGAAGACAAATCAAAAGAATATGTTTACGATACCATAGAGGAAACAAAAACGAACGTGGAAGAAACGCTCAATCGTGATTACGTAACCGTTTCCGATAGTTCGGAAAACGTTTATTCCTCACCGAGAACATCGTTAAATTCTCAAACTATTTCCGGTGAATTTCACACACCAACGGAATACGTTACGAGCGATCAAGAAGCCGGATGTTCACCTGATAAATCCGATGGCGATTCTGAACTTTTTTACGCCACTTCGGAAGTTTTAAATTTAAGACCTCCGACACCTTATAAAAAAAGAAAATCATCATCCGATTACGAAGATTTAGAATTGGAAGATGAAGAATTACCGGAAATCCCAATCGAATCCCCGGAAATAAACGATAATTTGGATGAATATGCTGACGTGGACGTGAACGATTATTGTCGACACCGTGAAGAAAATCCAAAAAAATTAAATTTAAATCCGAAAGATAAAAAAGCCATTGTTAAAGTTCGTTCGAAAATAAACAAAGCGTGGAAATCAATGAAAAATTGGATAAACGAAGATCGGGAAATTCGAGAATGTTCGAATAATAATGTGAATGTAAAAAAACCTCTCACCATTGACGTTATAAAAGTATTGAAAAAAAATGAAAAAGACGTGGATGAAGATGAAACGGACACGACGATGGGACGTCGTCGTAGCGAAAGTCCCGATTCCGATATAAATAATCAAAAATTTTCCTTTTCCAACGAAAATATAAAATTTATTGACGTTGAAAAAAGGGAAAATTCTGATTCTGGAACTTATATGGACATGACGAGATGTCAAATTCCAGAATGTTCCACTGATATTTTTCAAAGTTTGACAATTTTGAGAAAAAAATTTGACGGTTCGTCTTCCGGTACTACTCCATCATTGAAAAAATTCAGAATTTATCCAGAGGTAAGATACAAACTGTAAAATTTTATTTACTCTATGAAACGAAACGAAACTGACCGTTTTTGTTTTGTTTGTTTTGCGCCACGATTTCAATCAATTTTTTTTTCGAAAGGTGGCAAAATAATTATCGAGACAAACAAGGCAAAATTCTAAAAGTCGTTTGTTATTGTACGAGGGCAACAAAGTCGAGACCCCAATTTTATTATTATTATTATTATTATATAATCAAACCAACCGTGTGCATGTGTTTCGATTATGACTCATTATTATTTATTTTTTTTTTTTTTTTGTTTCTCAAAAATTTTGTAAGAATCTCGCTTTGACAACGTTATAATTTACGCAAGTGGTTTTAGACAGTGTCAGGTGATTTAAACCGCTGACACGACGTTTAGTCAAAAATTAATTTAAAATCTATTTTGTTGTTAATCGTCTTCGAATCCGTAAAACTATACATACATATTTACATTTCACGAATAATAATAATAATAATAATATGGTAAAAATCAGGTTTTTATTAAGGCGTGGCAAAAGAAAAACTGACCGACCGCGGCGGTTATGGCGGTGGGGGCGGGGGCGGCGGCGGAATACTTCATTGCCAAATACGCGTATACTCGATGTTATTTAATACGATCAAGATGTATTCGTTACGTAATTATTTCGACATTTATTTTACATGCGAACATCGTTCCTTCCCTACCTCCCCTCTCCCTTTCCCCTCCCTCGCCCCCGTTTAAATCCCGAAAAAAATTGGCGGGTAAAAAATTATTTGAAAAAAAAATCGATTTTTTTTTTTTTAAATAAAAGGCGGTGATCCCATCATAATTTTTTTTTTTTTTTTACGTCATCACCCGTTAATCGCGATAGAAAAACTTTTTTTTTTCAACTTTCTTTTTGCGACAATTGAGAAATTTTTCAAAACTACGTAAAATATTTGAATGTGAATACGTTAAGCGCCATTTTAAATATGACAAATAATGTAGGTATTAAGGTATGAATTCTGTCGAAATTCGCATTCGGGTTCACGTAAAGGGCTACACACCGTCATCATCATCATTTTCGTAATATATATATGTTTTGCGTGGGAAAGTTGTAGGCCGTTCTTGTTTTCCCTGTTTGTACGTGTCCGTGTCTGTTTGTTTGTTTGTCTGTTTGTATGAGTTTAAGTAATTTAAATAAAACGCGTTTTTAAATGTGGGTGTGCATACCTGAATTTTCAAGGTGACAGTTAAATTCACGTAAAATATCGAAAACGAATCGATCGATCGATCGATTCTTTTTTATTATTTAATTATCGGCAATTAAAATTAATTTCTTTTATTATCGGTGTCGTAATAAAAAAAAAACATTCGGATGTTTCCGTCTAAATTCGTTACTTTTCGTTAAAACGACAAACGAGTAACAACGAAAACTCATCGGCATATTATTTATTTTAAAATTTTTTTTTTTTTTTAATTCCACGTCGCGAATGAACTTTCTAGAATTTTTGAATGATTGATTGATTGATTGATTGATTTTTTTTTAAAACCGCGAATTTGGTCGAATTTCTCTCTCTTACTGTTTCGCTTTGATTAATCGTATTTTTTTTATTTATTTTAAATAAATAAATAAATAAAAATTCGAAGGTTACTTCCACGTCAAAAAAAAAAAAAAATCGTTTCGTTTCATTTGCTTTCACTTTGATTTAAACGGTAAAAAAAAAAAAAAAAAAAACAAACGATGTGCAATCAACGGAAATTATTATTTCCTGTTGGCAAAATGGCGACCTAACAACCGACCGACCGATAAGTTCGTTATTCGCGAAAAAAAAATTTTCTTTTGTCACGACTTCGGCCATATTGAAATAACAAACGGAATCGACGGTTATTACTACGGTGTTACCTTTCATTTTCCTATCGTGTAAATACAGGTGTCAGGTATATGATTATTCAAGACATCGTGTTACTTATTGATCCTTTTCATCGAAATAAAACAATAATAATAATAATAATAATAATAATAATAATAATAATAATAATAATAATAATAAATGAATAAGTATATGTTAAGATTAAACCGGAAACTCAAATTACATTTAATACCAAAAGATATTTGATGCTGATTTGTTTTTTTTGTTTACGACTTTCACCGGTTCGCCGATTTATTTATTTATATCGTAACGTAATAATAAATATCAATGACGTATTAGAAAAAAAAAAAAAAATCGTGGCAGCAGAATGTTTTAAAAAAAAATTTAGATGTTAAATTTTTGCTAGTGTAAAAACGTCGTACGTACGTCCGTCCGTCGTTGACCGAGAGTAGTAAATTGTTAAGTAACGACAAAATAATACCTGAATTTGTACCTGTTTTCTCGTGTTTTTCTATCCCCTATTGATATATATGTCTCTCTGTCTCTCTCTTTCTCATTTTTTATATCCGTTTATTAGAATTTAATGTCCCGACATTTTTATCAAATTTCCATTACGGGCATAATTTCATGCCTTTTTTTTTTTTTTGTTTCTAATAACGTAAACAATTATTATTTATTTACATTTTTATGATAACGTTATCAGTAGACAAAGGGTTTATCAAAAAGTTAAGTTTTTATATCATTTTAAATTGCCCTGGAAAATATGTGTAATGTGGGAATTTTTTTTTTAAACAAGTATCTATCTAATCCCACGTTACTTTTACTCGAAATTAAATAAATTCGAACCCCCATTTTTTTTTGTAACCTTTACCCTTATTATTTCGACAAAAAAATCAAACGTGGAAGAATTCGTGTTTTTTTTTTTTTTTTCGTGTAAGTAGAAAAAAAGTAAAAAGTTAATAAACTAACGGTTTTTGTTTTTTTTTTTGCATAACAATCGGATTCGTACAAAAAAAAAAAAAAAAAAAAAAAACGCGTTACGCGAGCTAATTATTATTATTATTATTACGAACGTCTTCTTTTTTTTTTTTTTATAGCCAACGAACTTTCGTCGACGATCAAATTTTTTTGCTTAATTAGTAAAAATGACTTCTTCCACGTTCGGTTAAAAATTAATTGATTTTATTATTATTATTATTATTATTATTATTATTATTATTATTATTTACACGTCATTTGATCCTAAAACTTTTTTAAACCGCAAAATATAACAAAAAAAAAAAAAAAAATTGTTTATTTTTTAAATTTTCGCTTCGTAAAGCATAAAATAATAATAATAATAATAAATGGTAAAATTACACAACGTCCGCCATTTTTTTTTAAAACAAATCAGCTAAAATAAATGATGATGATGATGATAATGATTGATTAATAATAATTTTTTTTTATCTGTATTTACGTGAGAATTCAACGAGACACGATTTTTTTTTTTTTTTCACATGTTCTTGTGCCACGTTCGTACGTATGTATTTTCTCATGGTTTATTGTTTATATTTTAATTTATTTAAAATCATACGAGATTTTATATCGATAATTATTATTATTATTATTATTATTATTAATTAATAAGATTTTTATCCGACGATGTCGACAATTGTCCCCGTTACGCGCGTGTGTGCGTGTACGTTTGTTCGCAAATTGTCTTTGTCGCCATTTTTTTTTTTTTTTTGCTATTACGAAATTATTTAAACCTTGAACCTTTATGGGGTCACACACGATCTCTGGCGGAAAATTATCGAAACAAAAAAAGTAAACAAAATGGGAAAACGTTCTCTCGAATCGGATAAACGACCAACGACAACAATACCAACTTTGGAAAAAAAAAACGATGATGATGATGATAATAATAATAATAATAATAATAATAATAATAATAATATTGATTTTGTTCTTTATAAAAAAATTACATAACGCGAAAGTAAGTAAGTAACGATAATAATAATAATAATAATAATAAAAATAAATATTTCCGATACGAAATTTTATTTACTGTCAAGGGTCATAATCAAAGTACCTGAACTCGAAAGGAAAGGTAGCGACTATCTCTCTCTCTCTCCCTCTTGTCTACGGCTAATTTTTTGACCTAATCGATAACCTTTTTTTTTAAGGTACAGCAAGAGGAAAAATTCGTAAAACGAACGTTGTGTCATTTAGAAAGTTATTTTTCGAATGATTAATAATAATTACCTTTTAACGTTTTTATAATAATAATTTTTCGTGGAAATAGATGGAAAAAAATGATCGAACAATCATTTTTCTATGAAAACAAACAAACAAACAAACAAACAAAGTTTTTGTTTTCTTTTAAATTCTCACGTCTTTGTTATGTTCGCGATGAAGGACGAATTTTCATCATTGTTTTATCATCGATTGATTAAATTAAAAAAAAAAAAAAAAAACTTTTGCGAATCGTTTGTTATAAATACTGATAAAATGGTATACGGATACCTTGACGACCTTAATTAATAATAATAATAATAATAATTGACTGGATATTTAAAAAAAAAATTTTTTTTTTTTGGAACTACTGGAGAAATTGTAAGTTAAAAACCTTTCGATCGAATCGATTTTAAAAACATAATGATAATAAATATTCGATTGTTGTTGTTATCATGTACACCTGATACCTAGTATTATTATTATTATTATTATTATTGGCACGTTTTTCGTCTCAGCAAGATGAATCGTTTTTTTTTTTTTTTTTTTTTTCTCTTCCACAAACAAGTTGTGGGCTCAACTTTCCCTTTCGCCGAGATCAACGTACTTCCATGCAATGTTAATTAACGTAATTTAAATTTATGGAGAAAAAAAAAAAAAAAAACTTTCTCTCGTCTCTTATTTCGCCTTTTGTTATTATTATTATTATTATTATTTTCGTCGCTCCAGACGATTTTTTTTTTTGGATAAAAAAAAAACACGATTGCCCTTGTTCGACCTTTCGTACATACACCTGTTGTGCGAGGTGTATGTACGAGGTATCGATTTCCGATGACGTTTTCGAATCATCGAATTTTTTTTTTTTTAATCCGCGGAAACTTTGACATTTAATATTATTATTATCATTATTATTATTATTATTATTATTATTA